ATCTTGGGATTGCCTCACATTTTTTCCTGGTATATGCCCTCTTGATCCTGGGGTACAGGTGCCAACTTCCGATAACCGATAGCAAGGGATTCGATTACTGGTCACTGAAACTGTAGCGTCTACTAGTGCCGTGAGCAGCGAGGCGATTTTGCAGAGATTTGTAGCACTGGTCCAAAATATGCACTGGTTTCGTGTGAACGCCGCGCTGACATAAAAAATGCCCCATTCGTCGGCATTGGATACAGGCAAACATATGAGAAAAGCTTTTTGATCAATTTTGCCGTACGAAGGTTCGCTGGCGGGCCAGCTGGCGTCTGTGAAACCAGAATGTAAATAAGGGATGTAAATTACGAGCTCAGGGGCCGTTTGGATGAAAAACTCGTGATCCCTCAGAGGTATGGAAACTGCAATTAAAGAAGAGGCCTCCTATTTGAGACACTGTTCAAGGCCATCAAATTTAAGTCCTTCGGCAGGACATTGGCGGGCTGTGACAGGGTGAGAAATCTTATTTATTTCTTTTTCAAATGCCCAGAAGTCTCCGAGTCTTCTTTTGGCCGGTGACGTCGCGCAAGTCTTTTCAAGAAATGGTGCAGGCAGGTTCAACCTCCTAATTCAGCTGGTCGTTGGATTATATGTAAATCTTACCAAAACAAGCGATGCGTGGCTCAAAACATGACATTGCCGCTAAGGTCAAGACGGCGTTTTCTCCTTTTTAGCCGTGTGTGATATCCCCGCCTTGCAACCGATGTGGAGCCGCAATTCTGGTTTGGCTTGTCTTTGCAATGGGGATTCCCAAATACGACTAGAGAATGGGAATCTTAATTCCGGAATTCCATGTCTCTGTAGGGTCACTCTATGCGCATAAATTTTATTGTAAGCATGGGGTGGAAAACCGGAGCAGTCGTAGTGAGCTGAAACGTGGGTTTATTGGCCCAGCCGAACCCAACTTTTTCCCAGATCTTATCCATTCAACAATGTCTCCGATATTCGCACCGGCAAAGAAACAGGAATGCTGAAGTAAGAATCTCGAAAATTGGAAGCTTCTATATTTCACGTGTGGTCAGTCAAGGGCCCTCCAAACCCAAAGTGGCTCAACTCGCTTGGTCCTGCCCTGCGCCTTTGGGACCTGCAATTATAATTCCCAGGGATTCCGGGCCGCTTTCGACTTTCCCTGAAAGAAGTGATTATTTCACCTCTCATAGGTTCCAAAAATCGCCCGCTCATGTTTCGTTTGTTTATTTTTCACTGATGCACCACTAATTAGGCTCAAGGCTGTTACGTGCTCATGCTTGTTTTTTGCTACTTTGAGCCAATGGCCCAGCGCGCATGGTTCATACCTCATGCGGAGAAGCTATTTGACTGTCCCATCTTGCTGTTTTAAAATCACCCAATGACTGTTCTTGGCCCCTGCCCGCTAGCACCCAAGGAGGCACCGCATTCATAATTTTCAGCCATAAATTAGCCATCGCCACGCAACGGGACGAATGGGAGGTACTGATTTCCCGACGCTCTCATTCGCTCGTATCTGGCAATAGTCTATGACGTAGGGCCGGGTGGAGTCCGAGGTATAAAGTCGTAATTTCACGAATATTCAAAGAGACAATTCAGACCCAAGGCACAAGGATCTCGCAGGCCGCCACCTTCATCCGACACGAATCTTCACCCCTCTCTGCTTACTTACTTTTGGTCATGTGACGATTGGCCGCGCCCGATCCGATGGCCCCGGTTGCGAGCGGGCGGTTTTGGTCTCGCAAAACACTATCACGTGACCCGGCCTCTTCCGCCATGTCTCGGCCAACTAACAGCGCCTATTCCTGACCCCCACACGGACCACAAAAAACGACGTCGATCTCTCGCGTGCCTGCCTCAGATCAATGGTTCAAATCTTCAAATCGTCGCTGATTTTCGATTTCGACTTCAAAACGACATCTGTGGCGTATCTCAATCGGTACCCCAACCCCTACGCCCAACATGTGCTTAGTTCTGATACTCTCGAATGCTTTGTGGATTCGGAGGGCCGGCTTAACACGACACGGCTAGTGGTCAAAAAAGGCCTGCTTCCCGAATTTGTCAAGCCGTTCATGGGCAACAAGAGCCTCGAGCTGTGGGTGATCGAAAAGTCCATTATCGACCGAAATCTGAAAAAAGTGTTGGCGTACTCTGCTAACGTCGACCACCGCCGGTTCGTGAAGGTAGAGGAGTTCCTCGCATACAACTGCTCTCTGGGGCTGACCAACTTGAAAGTCAATGTGCGATTTTCTTCTAATTTCTTTGGCCTAAAACGGAAGATCGAGCAGTGGAGCAGAGACCGCTTCACCCGAAACTTGCTGGATCATCGGAACGGCTTCATGTATGTCATAAACAAGCTCAAGCAGGCCTCTCCGGGAACCCCTGCACTAAACGCGTGATTGTATGTTAGACCATTCGACGTTGAAAGGGTCACATATTCACTTCTTTACGCGTGTGCTGGAAGACCACTGGTCTGCATACGCTTGTACATATTTTATGGGTAATTGTCGGTTAAATAGATAATAAGACAGAAAAAAAAATAGCTCTATGTTTTTATATCAGATGTCTCGGTATTTCCATGGACATTTATGCAATGGGGCGAGGAACAGATGGCTCACATGACATTCATATCTGGGCCTGGAAGCTGTGTTTCTTCAGGTATAGAATTTCGGCGGCCTCAATTTCGGTCTTGCCGTTCACTTGGGTGATCCCATAACGGTTGAATCATGCATTATCTTTCGATACAGAGCATTCGGAGGAATTGCTCTCATCCAAGCAAATATGTTTTATCCATTCTAGCCTCGGGCTAAAATTCCAATTATTGCTGTTCTTACAAAAAAATATTGGGGGATAATGAATGAAAGCCCCCCGTGTCTGAGCTGTGCTATTGATCTGGCCATTTCGATGAATATGAAGATTAAAAAAAAAAAAAGATTGAGTCTCGGGCTGTGCACTGTAAGTCCTTATCCGTCAAGGCTGTTGAGTCGGTAATTATCACGGAATCTAATCGCAGGACCTTACAATACTGGCAGCGTTTTACCAATAAAATAGGTCGCAAAATTTTCACTGATCATTTCGGTCCTCGTCCTTGCTTCCCTCACTTGAAGCTTCCTCCTTATCGCCTTTGCTTTTACTGCCCTCTGTTTTCTTGTTTTTCTTTGTTTCGGTCTTCCTTCGCTTCCTCGCTTACCGCTTTTTTTTATTCAATTTCCATTTTGAGAAAAAAGGGTCGATTCTTGCACTGAAATCAATAACGAAGACAAAAGCAGTATGTATTCTAAAGTATCCGAATCTGTAATAATTGAGGGCGAACAGTTGGTTGCGTCTTAATGGGCTGTCCGTGTAAGACGCTCAAGACTCAAACCTTTTGACAGAGCAACGGCTCTAGGAATGTTGCTTTATAATATATGGTTTGTCCTCAGGGATTTGTTGGTGGGAAGGAAAGAAAATGGTTTGAAAAAACAAAAGGTAGCTGCTAATCGACTGTGTCTTACTTCAAATCAGAAATAATAACTATATGTGGTTTCACATTTCTTCGAAGCCAAGAGGTATGGCAATTGGAAGTGAATTCAAGGTAAATTTAGAGAATACAGGATCGTGAGTGTCGGAATTAATTCAAGTCAAGCATAAACTTCGCAGAATGACATTCAAATATGTCCTTCAGATATAGGCCACAAAGACCATACCTTTCAGTCTGTTGCAAATTACATCTCTGTTGGACACTAGGCGGATCCCGCATGCGAAAGCACTCAATAGGAACCATTTGATCTTTCTAAATCGAGGTATTGAAGGTTTTCGTATGGGAACGCTCGATATGTCGCAGAATGTGCGATGAGCAAATATTCAAGAATTGTGCTGACACAAAAATGGAAATCACACGATTAATATTACAGGAAGATCCATTGTATCACGACGGTCTATTTCTGTGATCTGATCGTCCATGCTCAAGACCACCACAGTTGTTATACCATAAGAGTGCTATGAGCTTTTCTTAAGAAATGAAAAGAAAGTATCGAAGGAGTAGATATTTTTTGAACGAATCAAGAACCGTTTCATGTTTTGGGTGCTTCTCTGCCGTCTGAAAAACAATGGCCTTTAATATGACAGCCAAAGCCGCTAGCTTGTCATTTGTATCGACTGCAATGATAAAAGCGGAGACTGCATCAGTTACGAGAGTTCATGCCGAAGATTCCACTTGACTTTGCTATTAAAATAACGGGTTTTTTCAAAAACGCATAAACATCTACCGGAAGAATTTCTTGAAAGCCACAAAGCGGTGCTTCAGATCTGAGTAGTCAATTGAATTAATGGTTCACCATGCACGGCCAGGTCGACTCAAGCAAATGTCCGTTGCGAGTGACGGAATTTTGACGCATAATATCAGAACACTTTTTTTTCGTACCGTTGCATTTATAAGTTTCGGGAGGTGCTGAATAGTGGTGGCCAAATTCACCCATGCTGAACTAATTACGCCATCTGGTGAAACCAAGATGCACAACTATATCTGACGTTATTGGCTAGAGGGCCTCACGTGATGTAGCAGTGCCAAGACCCGGTTCGCCAACCAGGTCACGTGCGCCCCCACCCTACACATCCGAGGCATTTTCGTCATTTCACGAAGATGGCCTCATTGGTGGAGGCTCCATCTAAAGATATTCGCCCAGTATGGCGCCATAAGCTGGCCGGCTGGCAAAAGGCGGGCCCTTCAGCTTATGCGCCTCGCGGCCTATCGGACTGCATGGTGCCACCCAAGGTGTGAGATAACCACGGCCCCGACAGCCGGCGCCCTGTCCCCATTCCTTCTTCCCAACCAGTGTGGTTTCTTTAATATCTTGTATTTCGAGCCTACGCCCTAGTTTCAGCAATAAAGCGGGCCTATTTCTATAAGGATAGTGGCTCTATTTTTATAAGTATAGCGGCTCTATTTTCATTGCTACAGCGGCTCTATTTTCAACAGTAAAGCGGCTTTCAGATTTGTCGCCCTGACGGATCCCCTCGCTGCGAGCAAAGACCTGCTTATCTATTCTGGCCACGCCTGCACCGCCAGGGCCTTGGGACAGCTGTACTAGATAAGCCGAAACACCCGTGGTTGTAAGCTCACAACTCGGGGCTCCGAACACAGAACCAACCGCGGCCTGGCACCTGCCGGTTTCAGCGGTGTTTCAGACGCCTCCCCGGATAGCGCAGAGACCCACTTTTAGTCTACGCCAGACTGGATTGCTGCGCGTGCCGATAACTATTGCACATAAGCCCCGACCACTATCATCTACCGTCTACCATTACCATCTGCTTTCGTCATTACCAATACCACCATCTAAAATTACCATTACCATTACCATCTAAAACTGCCATTCCCATATATTTTTACCAATAACATTTACTTTTACCATTACCATCTACCATCGACCATTACCATCTAACACTACCACCTACCTCCCATCTGCCATCTACCCCAGAACCACAACACCTTTCACAAAAGACAAGAAAAGAAAGGAAATGACTTTAACGGGCGGCTGGGACCAGCATCTGAATTCTCCAACCGGCGAGGGCGCCGCCCCCCTGGGCCACACACACACGCCTCTGGCGCTGCGGCGAACGTCTTTCTTGTCGCAGAGCATGATCGACAACGAGACATTTTCGGTGTACGACACCTACAGCTTCTCCCGGGGCGGCTCGGCGTGCCACGTGATCTCGCTCAAGGAGTCGCAGGGCTTCTGCTTCAACCAGGATCTTTTCGCCAGCACGTACCAGCAGCTGCGCACTCTTTTGCGGGAGAAGCAGTGGCGGCAAATGAGCTGCAAGAAGCGAAGCAAGTCCCACGGCGGCGCCCTGGGCCGCCGCCGCCTGCACGCGCCCAAACACCGGCGCCACACCTCGTACGGGCTGGGCCCCATGCTTCGAGCGGTAGGGACCGATCTGGCTGTGGACGAGGACTCCAGCGACGACTTGTGTCTTGATCCATGCTCCGGCGCGGTGCGGTCGCGTCCCGGGCTGCCCTCTACTTTGGTGGAGCCTACGGGCGTTGCAGAATACAACCATGCGGCTGCACGCGAGAGACTGGGGGGTGTGCAAGGCCATACCAGGGGGGACCCGGGCATGGAGAGCGAGGACGGTTCGGACGGCTCGGACGGCTCGGACGGTTCCGACGCGCCGCCGCGCTTCTCGCCCATCGGGCCCAACTACGTGCCGGTGATCGATATACAGGTGGACGACATGGACCATGTTCCGGACGTATAGGCCGTTTTCTGCATGGGCCGGCGTCCCTGGGTATACATTGAGAGGCGGGCGATGCGGGAGCTTTCATGGGGAGATGCCGGAGCTTCCACGTTGATACGGGGTGGCAGGACCCAGGTGCGGTGGACTGGTGGGATTTGCGGGGCATTAGGCCGGCCGAGGCCTGATCTCCACTCCAGCGGGGTGAGGAAGCACGGGAGACAAGAAGCACCGGAAACAAAGAAACTGGATGCAAAACCGGAAACAAAATAACTGGATGCAAAACCGGAAACAAAATAACTGGAAGTAAAAAAGCCGGAAGCAAATTACACCCGAATCAGGAAACGCGGGAAACAAGATTAACCGAAGACAGAGAAAACCGGAATCTAAAACATCCGGAACCGGAAAATCGGAGCCAGGAAAAGCCCGTTTCAGATAATCGGCGCGGCCCCAGCTCCTGTCGTCGTCCGCTCGGCTGGCGCCTCTCGGGGTGCGCAGGCCCCAGGTCATATCATCAGGGCCGCGCGCGCGGCCCCAGGCCACGTGAGCCGAGGCTGGGCCACACCGGGCATCCTTGAAAACACCGCCAAAGTCTGCCAAAACACGTGGAAAGCCGCTGCAAGCACCGCCACAAGACCCCTGCTCCACACCCGACCCACACCCGATACCCCACGTGCCTCTTCCCAAACACGCCCGCACCATGTCCGACGCCAAGCAGCAGTTCGAGGCTCTTTCGATGGAGTTCACCAAGGCCCAGAGCGCCATGAACGAGTTGTTGGAGGCCCGCTCCAAGCTCGAGACGCAGTACCAGGAAAACAAAATCGTCTTGGAGGAGTTCGAGGCCATGGACGACGGCTCCAAAATCTACAAGTTGACCGGCCCCGTGTTGATGCCGCAGGACTACCACGAGGCCAAGATGAACGTGTCCAAGCGCATCGAGTTCATCCAGGGCGAGATCTCGCGCGTCGAGGAGAAGGTCGAGAAGGCCCAGAAGGACATGGAGGTCTCGCGCACCAAGTTGCTCCAGGTGAGGAGCCAGATGGCGGCGTAGGTGGCCATGCCTCGGAGTAAATAACCTTTATAATACCAAACGTGCTATACACAAGAGAGCCGCGGGCCTTTGCACAGCTCAGCCGCGCGCCAACTGGCTCTTGATCAAGTTCACCAGCGAAATGGCGTTGAAAACGGCCCACTGCTCCACGGAAGTGTACGCGCTGCCCATGGACCGGACCGACGCCACGCTGCTGTCGACAAACCGCCTTGTCCGCTCGAAGTCTCGCGAGTTGTCCTGGAGCAGGAACAACTCGGACTTCACGTAGATCGACGACAACAACATGCGCTTGGCGTACCACGCCGTGTCGTTCGACATGTCGCCCGCATAGAAGGCCACGTCGTCGCTCAAGTTATGTAGTTCCTCCAACGACAGCGCCACGTTGTACGGCACCACGAGCTGGGCAAGCGCGCCCAGAAGCTGCCCGATCACCGGCCGGTTGTACAGCAATCTCTTGTTCAAGAGGTACGCTGCGCGGTCGTACTCGTCGCCGATCTGGTGGAACGGCAGGCCCGCGTCGAGCACGTGGTCCTGCAACTTTTGCCGCTGCATCTTGAGCCAGAAGAGTACAAACAGGAACTCCATGGAGCGGCCCAGGGACGCCGAGATGGCGCTCTGGATCAGGTCCAGGAACTGCAAGTCCGCCACCGCAGCGTCAATGGCGGTTTTGGAGAACCCGTGCCGGGGCACGTGCTCGATGGCCTTGGAAAACAACACGGCCTCGGGGGACTTGCTGTGCACGATGACATTGGACGCTGGATGAGAAATCGAATGGTACGCACGGGCACACAGGCGGAGCGCTCCTGGCGTGCGGGAAAACATGTTTTCTTATGGGCTTTCGGATGAGTGAAGGGCACACGCTTGTTTGCCGGTCTGTTCTGGGGGTGCCGAGGATGGTGTGTGCACGGTTCGTCTAAAACAGGGCCGATTTCAGGAGGACTCAAATGAAGTAGGGCCGAAGCTGGCGTGATCTGGGCAGGCGGCATTGGCCCCGGCCCGGCATGCAGGCCCCGGCCCGGCCGCGAACAATGGCCAATTTAGTGGTGAAGGTGCGGCGAAAAGAGCATTTCCCGTGGCGGAAGCGG